TCCTTCAAATACTCGCACATAATATAATATATTTTTTGATATAAATAAGTATGCGTAAAGCGTAAAAACTAATATTTCCTTGTTATTGTTTAAACGACGTGATTCGATGATATTAAATCTGAGTGTTTGTCTCTGCCGAAATTACATTTTTTAATTAATATAAAACCATACTATTATATAGTTATGTAATTAATAACACAAAAACATGCAGTTGCAGTAGGTACTTGATAATCTGTCTACTGGTTAAGATGAATTAATTAGTTACATATATTTGAAAAATTTAACAAAAGATAGATTGAACAATAGATATATTGCGTTTTAATAAAAAAATAAGAGAAATTGAATAAATATAATATAATTCAATAGGAAAATCTAAATAATAATAAAAATATTACATAATTTTATATTTGTAATTTTTCATCAATGAATTATTTATATAATAGTGATAGACGATAATTATATGTTAATATAAATGCATACGTATAAAATATTATTATTTGCAATAAAATAATAACAATAGAGAATATTATTATAGTAAACAACTGCCCAAAATATAAGCCAACAAAATCCTCAAGAACCACACAATATTAATCTAATCCAAAAACTGTAAATACCGCTATAGTGCTAAACTGTACAGTAAGTTGTATTATACAATTTGTCAATATATTTTTTTAGTTAGTAAATTAATATACGCTAAACAATTTTGACGTTGAAGCTTTTTACCAGCAGTTCACTTTTAGTTTCGTTAATTTTAATATAATATTAAATTTCCCAATTATTAAACCTGGTGACAACATCGCTTGTGTTTTGCCGGAGGTGTTTTTTGATAGTTATTATTTACAAGAGTTATAATAAGTCATTTAAATCTAGTATTAAAAATAACGAAAAATACTATTTAATATGAACTGCTAAGTATTAATTTTCAATTTTCGCATTTGTAAGACAGAGTCAATAAGTTAGAGTGTAGCGTTCTTGAGAATATATAAATTTAATATTTTTTCTAATCAATAATAATAATATTTATTATATTGTACTTAAGATCATGTTATATCACTTTATATTTTTATATTTATTTATATTTATTATTTTTTATTTATTTTTATATTTAAAAAACATCATTCGCTCAGAACATCTCTAAAATAATAAATGACAATGACATGGTTATAATTATTGAAATCCAAAATAAAATATTATCTTTGGACAGATTTAACAATAAATATAAAATAATATAGGCATTTGTAGTTTCCGTAGCTGTCATATTATAATATTGATTATTGACATATTCGTTGTCAAAAAACGTCAGTAACATTTGCAGATTCTATGTAAAGTCATTATTATTATTGGTATGATATTTTATATTGTATATTTTTTTCTTTATGATAACTTAATGTAGTGAACCCAATTTTCAATAGAATATATTTATGTATATGTTGTTGGACCTCCCGTTGACCATTAATCACATCGATCTAACGTATTATCCCATGGTTTGTATGCTACATAAACCTTACAACAGCATCAAAACTCACTGAACTCATGTGATTTCTACATTTTACACTAGCGTTGTCCCACCTGTCTTTTATATGATGGATTAAAACACGATATTTTCATAATACAAAATATAATATATATTTTATGGGCATTGTGTAGGTGTTTTTATAACCTAAACTTTTTTTATTTAATTATTTAAGTACCCATCGTGGATTGGATACTATTTGTGTGTTATTTTAAATGTCATAAAATTTTTCAAATAGATAAATATACCATTCGCCAAAATAAAAGTTATGAACACAACGAAGACTTGTAATATTTTTATTGGTAGATTAGGAGCTTTGGGAAATTCACTTTATTATTGCATTTTAAATTTATTGGTAAATCTTCATCGAACACTGCGGTATTGAATAATAAAGTACCTATTACTTAAACGTTTTATCGAAAAAATTATATAGTAAACTATATTTTCAATGTATCTGATCGCCAATAGTAATTTTAATTTTGAGACTATTGGGGGGAAAAAATATGTAGTAATTTTTGTCACTTTTACAATTTGTGTAACAAGGAAGTTGTTAAATGTATGCCTGCGTCTTGCGATAAAGTTACAGTTATTATTATTTTCGTTAATAAAAGATGGTTACATTCAAATGTGTTGAAAAATTAAAAAAATGAACCGTTTTTTCGTGAAATTGAATTTGTATATTATTATATGGCTAATGGCTATGCAAATACATAAAAATGTCTAGAGGACTAGAGATTAAAATTTCATGAAACATAAACAATTTGTATATATTTGTTTATAGCTAATAAATAAGCGAATTGGTTGACAAAAATAACTATAAGGTCATTGCAGATTTAACAACGATAATGATCGATTGCCAGTTATAATAGGTATCCTAATTAATGTAGATAAACTATCATATACCCTTATTTTTTTTTCAATATGTGGGATCAAGAAGACCATGACGTGAACGTCTTAAGTGACGGTTTTGTTTGTATGTGTGTGTGGGGGGAGGGGGGTCGTCAGTAATTGAGACAGAGTATTGATGTGAGATTAGTGGACTAAGTGGTGGTGATATGTTATTGTTATAACTTATATGTACATGTGTTAAAACATTTTTTGTAGAGGACTTTTGCTTAAAAGTCAGCAGTATAAAAATGTAGGCCTTATTATATGTTGACAGTTATTTGACATATTGATAGTGATTGGAAGACCTCTATTATTTTTAATTTGGTTTGTTTGGTACAACCCCATTATAGTTGGCCACCATAAGCCCAAATTGCCCTTATCGTTAACCTCTCAATAAAGATTTTGTTTTTAGTAAAAGTTTAGATTTTAAAATAGATTGTATTCCAGTATAATGACTGTATAATTGATTTTAATTGACGACTCTCAAGTAAGTATTTTATTTTTGTTTTTTTTTCTAACCAAATAATATAAAACCGTAATTGCAAAAAATTAAATAAAATCAATTTAAAATGAACTTGGTATTTATTATAATATACTTATAGAAATGCTATGCTTTTCAATAAACCCTTTTATATTATACCTTTTTTTAAAAATGTATTATATTATTATATTAAGTATTAACCCAAAATCATAAAACATTACACTATTATTTACAGGCTACAACTTTCAGTAACTTAAGAGGGCGCTACACCTACATGTGTTGTCTCTGTCTTACAAATGTACAACATAGCAAAAACTATTTAGCGCAGAACAAACTAGGTATACTAATTCTGTATTTACATTACCAACATTTCACAACGCACAGGTTAGAACTTTATCTGTGATAGAATTTTAATTCTTTTGATAGCACGAAACAATAATATTTAATAATTAAATGAAAAAAACAAAACAAACCTAATGTTCTCAAACTGATAAGTTTAATTGTATTTATGTTATTAAAATAATAAAAACTCTACTGCACGGATAAATTTCTTTCCTATGTACTTTGGGATTTTGGTAATTCTACTATAAAGACAAAAGAAGTATTAAGAAGGGGACAACACATGCGGTGTAGCGTCCTCTTAAGTAATTTGATGTTCACTAAAATAGTTTAAATATGAGGTGGAATTATTTTCCTAATTTTGAAATTTTATTAACCCAACATTTATAGCTACTTACATTTTATAACATTATAGATAGGAATTTATATATTATATACATATTATAAACATATATTTCTATTTTAGTAGGCGCCTTTACGATTTTACTATTTAAATGTCCAGCGTTAAAGCAAAAAAAAAACTTAAATAAATATAATAATTTTTTTTTTTACTTATAAGCATATCATTGAAATATGGAATAGTTTTTGAAACTACAAATTAATTTAAGTCTAATGATAATAATATTTATCCAATTCTATATTTTTGATTTTGGTTTAATATGTCAGTGTTAGTTGTGTTTTGATACTTTGAATATAAACTTACGATCAGATTTAAAATTGGTAGATTTGTTTCTATTGATATACCTTATGTAATTATATAGGTAGATACCTAATAAAACCATGAAGGAGTTT